AAAACTCAGGCGCCACTTACACCCGGATGGTGGTCAGGGTATTTCAGGCCGTTCTGGGGCGCACCATGGAGGCGTATGTTGACGACATGATCATCAAAAGCAAACAATCCTCCAGCCATGCTGACGACCTCACGGAAATCTTTGTCATCATGCAGAAGTTCAACCTTTGGCTAAACCCGAAGAAGTGCACCTTCGGCGTGCAAGGAGGCAAATTCTTAGGCTACATGGTGAGACGAAGGGGTATCAAGGCCAACCCCGAAAAAAACCAGACAATCATCAACATGGAACCCCCACGCAATGTGAAGGAGGTCCAACGGTTGACGGGCCGCCTGGCAGCCCTCAATCGCTTCCTTTCAAAATCGACTGAGAAGTCCTTACCCTTCTTCCAGATCATGAGAAAGACCGTCGGTTTCCCGTGGACGTCAGAGTGTCAGGGGGCTTTCGAGGAACTGAAACGGTATTTATCCTCACCCCCAGTACTCTCTAAACCCAAGGTAGGGGAGACCCTATACCTTTACATTGGTGTTAGCTCGGCAGCCATCAGCTCAGTGCTTATCCGGGAAGAAGATGACGTCCAACATGCCATCTTCTATGTTAGCAAGACCCTCAGGCAAGCGGAACTCCGATATTCCCCTGTGGAAAAAACGGTGTTGGCTATCGTTTGGACTGTCAAGAAGTTGGGCCATTACTTCCAAGCTCACCCGGTCCAGGTCCTCACTCACCAACCCCTCGGCGCTTTGATGAGGAGCCCCACCAGATCCTCCCGAATGGTAAAATGGGCTGTCTTCCTGAGCCAATACAACATCGAAATCCGTCCTAGGCCCGCCATCAAGGGCCAAGCCCTAGCGGACTTCGTGACGGTGTGCACGGCAAGATCAGCCACGGACGAGGATCCCTCGGCCCCCTCGGACGATTGGTGGACCCTCTACACCGACGGCTCCTCCGCTGTCAAAACATGTGGAGGAGGGGTGGTTCTCATCTCACCTGAAGGCTTCCGGGCCTATTACGCAATCCGCTTCTCCTTCAAAGTCTCCAACAATGAAGCTGAATATGAGGCCCTCCTCTGTGGAGTACGAAGCCACGTCAAATGCGACTCAAGTTAGTCGTCGGCCAAATTTAGTACGAGGCCCTCCTCTGGCAGCTAACATGAAGGCCCGACAGATCCACTTCAAGTGCGACTCCAAGTTAGTCGTCGGCCAAATTTCCGGGGAGTACGAAGCCAAGGAAGGAAGAATGAAACAATACAAGGAGGCGGCTAAAGAATTGCTCAAGGTATTTGAGGCACACTCCCTCACTCAAATACCGAGGGCTCAAAACTCTGAGGCCGACATTTTATCGAAGCTCTCGGCCGACTCCCCTGAACATATCTCAAAGATTGCCAAAATCGAGGAGCTCAACCTCTCCAGCATACATGCTAGCCCCATCATGCACATACAACAAAGGCAAGAGGACTGGATCTCACATATTGTCGCCTTCATCACCAAAGGGAAACTGTCCGAGGATGAGGCCCGTGCCAAGCTAGCAAAGCTGAGGGCTCCCAGCTACACTATCGAAGACGGAAGGCTTTACAAAAGATCATACAACGGGACGTTACTTCGGTGCCTTCATCAAGATGAAGCCGAAGTTGCGATGGAGGAAATGCACAGTGGCATTTGTTCAGCTCACAGGGGACCCTTCTCCATGTCCCGAAGGCTCATAATCCAGGGCTACTTTTGGCCTACAATGGCCCGGGATTGTGCGGATCTCGCCCGAAGGTGTACCTCATGCCAACACTTCCAGAAAGCCCCAGGCAGGCCCGCGGTCAACTATGCCCCCATCAGCACATACATACCCTTCGCTCGATGGGGCATAGACCTTGTGGGCCCTCTGTCGAGGGGTACCTCCAACAGCAGGTACATCATTGTCGCCATCGACTATTTCACCAAATGGGTGGAAGCGGAGCCCCTCGCCAGCATCACCGAGGCCAAGTGCCGTTATTTTGTTCTCAAGAACATCCTCATGAGGTTTGGCGTCCCCCAACAAATCATCTCCGACAATGGGACTCAATTTGAGGCAGCCCCTTCTGTGCCCTCCTAGAGGCATGGGGCATCAAACACACCTTCTCATCCGTTGCCTACCCTCAAGGCAACGGTCAAGTGGAAAACGCCAACCGGACATTGCTCGAGGGCCTAAAGAAGAAGCTGGAGGCCGAAGGGGTGGCTGGGTAGAAGAGCTCCACAACATCTTATGGGCCTACCGCACCACCCCTCGGCGAGCAACAGGTGAGACACCCTTCTCCCTTTGCTACGGATTTGAAGCTAAGGCCCCCACTGAGGTAACTCTTCCGACCCGAAGGGTCACACAATATGATCCCGAGGTCAACGACGCCAATATGGCCCTCGACCTTCACCTTATTTCAGAACGCCGAGAGCAAGCCTTCATACGCGCGGAAAACTACCGAAGGCAAGTGAAGAGTTACATTGACGCCAAAGTTCGCTCCCGGGAATTCCAAGTGGGGGACTATGTCCTACGAAGGAGGGAAGCTAGCCAACAAACCGAGGGAGGCAAAATGGCGCCCAAATTTGAGGGCCCTTACATAGTGACAGCTATCATCAAGTCTGAAACTTACAAACTCAAACGCCCCAATGGGACCGAGGTCCCTAGACACTGGAATGTACATCACTTGGTTAAATTTTATCAATAACATTAGAGCGGCTGAGCCCTCATAACTAGTGAATGTATTATTTTGCGGCCCAAGGCCTCCAATTTTTGAAGAATGAAGGCATATTGAAGACACCAAGAACATGGAACGAGACTCTTATGAGCGACCAAGCCCTCATATCAGCCCCTGGCCCAAGGCCTTATCACAAGTAAGAACCCTCGGCACCCAGTGCCGGGGGCATACACTACTATCAATTTTCAACAAACGGAAGAAAACACTCAGTGTTTCCTTTGAAGACCCTTCGGTACCAAGTGTCGAGGGAAGATACCTCAATCACCTACAACAAATGAAGAAAAACACCAAATGTTTTTACAGAAGACCCCTCGGTACCAAGTGTCGGGGGCCGTATACTGGAACAAACACCAAGTGTTGTTTCTAAAGCCGTACCCCTCGAGGACGCATATACCGAAGGCGCCACATATCAGTGCCGGTAGCACGTAGTGCCCCCGGCCATTTGCAACCAGTGTGCAAATGAAAACCCTTCCCTGAAATGCTTTTCGCATCACTACCCCAAGGGTACGACAGGCAAGTAACATGCCTAGGATTCGACTTTCAAAAACGGAATGCTTTCCGCACCATTTCCCCCAGGGATTGGCAGGCATCTGATATGCCCAGGATTCGACTTCTAAACCGAAACGCTCTCCGCGCCACTACCCCAAGGGTGTGACAGGCCACGAACTATGTCTGGCGCCGAGGAGACGACTTTCAAAACTGAGGCGCTTTCCGTGCCATCTCCCAAGGGGAGACAGGCTACAGACTATGTCTCAAGCCCAGGAAACGACCCTCGATCCCCTCGGAACTCGGAAGGTTAACCCGAGGGGGGAGCTAATGGTGTATTCTATTACCTCCCGATAGGCCAAGCCTTACAAAGAAACCAAGTTTCTTGAAGCCTTCCCTTCACTGCCAAAAAAAACGAGGGAGTGAAGGGGAGTAGACTCAGCGAGAAATCAATGAGTACACCGCTCCAACAATTCACGACAGAACGCCCTTCGGCATTACAAGACAATACATACCGAGGGCCTCCCACGGGAACACCTCCGGTACCTGAAAGCTCCTAATTACCAAAGATACTATTCAACAAGTATCATCAACAAATGGCTAAGTCCACTTTTTAATTGCCTCCGGCTACATCAAAATCGAAGGCTCAAATCCTGCAGAATTTGATAAGTCCACTCAACAACATTTCGAGTAATGCCGAAGGCACCTACATCCCCGTCGGCACCTATTACGTCATCAATGTTCTACAAAATTTCATAAGTCCACCCTTTGGAAGCATGACAAGGGCCGAAGGCTCTTATGATCAACAAAGATCGAAGGCAACTACTACTCACCGGGGGCCAGTCTCCCAGGCCAAGGAATTTTTTCCATGTCTGCAAAGTTGGGTGCCTCCGGGACCACCACCCTTCACCGAGGGATCTCTTACTCAAGATACTACAAACTGAAGGGTATATTCACCATGAAATATGGGAAATGTCCCAAACCCTAGATGGTTGGCCCTCAGCCAACCCATCATGCAACGAAGGCCAAGTGACAAGCAACACTTGGAAAAATTTTATGAGTCCTAAATATTTTAGCTCTAAGTCAAATCCCCATGCAGCCAGAGGGGCTACGTAGCCGAAGATTCAGTGAAACAACACTTAGAAAAATTTTGCTAAGTTCTACATATTTGGCCTTCGGTCACGTATTCTCACGCCCAGGGGTCAAGTGACCGAAGGCGTGGTACTGAACAACACTTAGAGATATTTTTCCTAATTCCTGAATGCTTTGCCCTCTGTCAAGTCGCCGGTCAGCCGAAGGCACACCTACAAGAAGGCTCTCACATTCACTCGAAGGCTCCTATCTCATACAACTACACTTAGAAAAATTTTCTAAGTCTTAAATATTTTGGGCCCTCGGTCATATATCCATGCAGCAAGAAATGCCCACTGACCGAAGGCTAGGCGGCTAATTCACACTTAGGAACTTTTTCCAAGTCCTAAAGATTGGGCCCTCGGCCTAATCATCATGCAGCTAAGGGACCATGGTAGCCGAAGGCCACATGATGCATTACACTTAGAAAAATGTCTAAGTCCTAAATGCTTGGCCCCCTACAGGCCGAAGTCCTAAATCATCAACCCTCGGTCAACGGGGGCTGGCCACACAAGATCAGAAGGAAATACCCGACCGAAAGCTCAGGGCACGACCACACTTAGAATAATTTCCAAGTCCCAAAAACGGGTCCTCGTCCAAATCATCATACAAACCCACATTCATACACAAAACATTAAGGAAACGAAGGAAAAGCAATCACATAAAGGAAAAGCCCGGAGGCACCCCATTCATTCAGCTTAAGTATCCAAAAACAACACAAGGAGAGTAATAAAGCGTTTGTTACAAACAGGCCGAAGACGAGGGCTACAGAGTTCATTACAGAAGATCATTCACAGAAAGAAAACCTAAGTACAAATCTTGTAAGCAACCTCGGCAGTGGCGTCCCCCTCGGCAGCTTTGGAGGTGACCTCTTCCCCGGCAGCAGCATCGGCATCACCATCGCCGGATCCCCCCATCATCACGGAGTCATGGATCACCGACCTCTCTTCTCCTGGGGGGGAGGGGATTTCTTACATCCGGTTGCAGAGGAGGAAGGTCATACGCCGAGGGGTCAAATTCCTCGAGGGAGACGTTGAAATGCCTAGCAAGCCTCCGGTAAACCAGATGCTGGGTGAAGAATTCACCCCCTTGATAGTAGATGTCGCCCCTTTCCGCCATCCAGTCGGCCCCGGGGCCCTTCACCCAGCTATCTGCCGAAGACTCGACAACCGAGGCCACCCACTACTGCCGCTCCTCGGTCTTCCAGCCCTCAGCCATGAATGCAGCGACAGCATCCTCTCGAGCTTTGGCGATGGCTTCGGCCTTGGCGGACTCTGCCTCCTCAGCAGCTTTCTTGGAGGCCTCGGCGGCAACCCTCTCGGCTTCGAGTCTGACCTCCTCCACGGCAGCCTTAATCCTCTGCTCAGCCCCCTCGGTAGCCTTCCGAATGTCCTCCTCCAGCTGAGTCATCTGCTTCACAGCATCGGAGTTCTTGAGGACGAGCTCCTTCATCTCTCGATCCTACTCCGCCTTCTGGAGACGCCACTGATCGAGCCTTTGCGCATGCTCCCCGAGGGCTATGCAAGCCTGTTAAACAACGAGCGGAGGAGTTAGACAAATGTTGGAAATGTATTAAAAGTTAACACAAGGACAAGGGAAAAAACTTACAGTTAGAGAAGAGCGGAAGATCTTGCTCTCGAGGGCCTCGTCGTCATAGGTCAAGAGGGCCGCCTTGTCCATCGCCGAAGTGATCCCCCTCAGGAAGGCCTTCAGTTCTGCCGAGCCATGCATCAAGGAAGCCCCCGGAGCCACGGAGAGTTGCAGAATATCCCGGGGGAAGCCTCCCGGGGGAAGCCTCCCGGGGGAAGGTTCGTCCAAGTTGTCGCCGCGGTGCCAACCGGGGGCTCGGGAGAGGGGCGATCCTCTATGATCACCAAGGGGGCCGCCTGGTCAGCAACATCCCTGGGACCCCTCTACTTATTGGCAGGGGGCTCTACCCCCTTACTGCCTTTCTTCTTTTTTGTGGCCCCCTCGACCACACCAGCAACGGTAGCCACAGTGGAGGGCTCCGGTATCTCCTTCTGGAAAAAGGCCTCAACGGGCTGCTGAGCCGAAGGGTCCTTCTTCTGAGCCTGGGCCTTGCCCTTTTTCTTCTTCAAAGCAAAGAGTTTCCCTGCGTCCATGTTCGCGCCTGCAAACGACAAAAAACAGTTAGACCGAGGGGTAAAAAGCGTGAACAAACAATCAAAAAAAAAAGAAGGAAAAAATCCTAAGTACATATTGGGAAGCCCTCGACTACTACCTCCTGCTCCCTCGAAGGCTCTGTCCAACTCGGGGTACCTCTCGTCCGTCTCACCAAGGAAGCGATATCTCCGGAAGCCGAGGGCATAAAGATCCTTATCAAGTGTGTAGTCTTTGATAGACACATTCTTCGTGCGACCCTCCGGAATCTTGGCTATGATCAAACCATCCTTCTCGAGAGCAGCATTTCGGACCTTCGGATGCCGTCAGAAACGATCTCGTAGCTCCCTCGGGAAGGGGCTCTCGTCCACTCTGACGTAACACCATCGCTCCTTCCAGCCTTTATTTGATGAAGGCGCCTCGGTAAACAGCTTCCACCTGGCTATCTACTGCAGGTTCGCGAAGCCCTCGGCATTCGCGTGACCCCCCCGGCAGAGTTTGAAACTCTGGAAGAACAAATCCAGGCTCGGGGTCACCCCTCGGGACCGGCAAAGGTTCAGGAAGCCTGCCACATATGAGTGTATGTTGGGCGTCAATTAGCAAGGGACCAGACCCACGTACCTAAGATATTCCCAAAGGAATGGGTGCAAGGGGAACCGGAGTCCCATTGATACGGACAAAATGTGGACGGCGATGCAACCCTCGGGAGCCCGGGAGAGCACATCATCAGGACCTGGCGCCACCATTACGGCCGAAGGCCCCACATGCAACTGAGTGACGAAGAGATCCTCCCGGTCAGCTTTCGATCCTATCTCGAGGGCAGTGGTATTCAACCAAGAGTACCCCTCGGGCATATCAATGGGTCTTCCTTGATCAGCAACCCTGTCCTTCTTTTTGGGAGCAACCTTCGTCTTCTCCTGTTTGTTCCCGGGGGCCACCCTTAGAGGTGTCGGGTTAAGAGGCCGAGAGCTCCCTGCTTCACCAGCACCACGAGGGGGGCACGGCGATGGTGACCTTCATACTCTCCTTGTGCTCCTCCTCCTCTGCAACTTGAACGGCGAGGGCCATCTCCTCGTCTTCGATCACCTGCTCGAAGTCCTCAGCTTCGACTTCAGCCACAAGGTCCTTCTGTACCTCTATGGCCATTGCGGCATCATCCTCGGCCGAGGGTTGCTCACTCGTGGACTCCACGTCTGAGAAGCTCTCCTCCTCCATCGAGGGCTCCCTCGAGATGTCTTGGGAATCGCTTTGTGAAGACATTGTTTGTACTAAACCGAGGGTTCAGAGGGAGATACTAAAGGCTCTAAGCTACAACCCCTAATCTAAGGCCACAAAGCATAGCTAACTAAGAAAGGTGAAGAACGGGTGGGGAACTGACCTTGGAACAAGAATTGGATCGAAGGCAGGTGTTTCTCTCTCTAGAAATCAAATGGCCAGAGCTTCGCTACAAATGAGATCGCACAGGGGCCAGAGCTCAGACTTTGGGGTATTTATAGGCATCCAAATCCGGGCCTGGGCCGGAAATTGGGCCCCCGGTGGAAAAGCCATCATTACAAACCGATGAGCTGCCCAATCAGTGACGCCCGCCCACAGACAGTCAACGAACGCACGCCACGTGGAGGCCCCCCTCCAACGGCTATATTTCCGACGTTACATCTTCCAACGGCTCTATTACAACGGCTATATTCGGGGAACCCGGGCTGTCTCCTTCGCTCCACTTCATTAAGGGGAGCCCCCGGGTACACTTACCTAGAAGTGCTCCCGGCCAATGCCCCTCATAATACATCACAAGTGCCTTCGGGCTCACTCTTTCAGAAGCCCACGTCTTCACAACGGGCACACCCCTCGGGAACACTCAGCCCTCAAACACATTGAGGACCACGTGGCCCCCGGGAGGCATTCCTTATTATGGAAGCCCCTCGGGGCACCGCAGCCCCCCACTTGTAAACAAACAAGGGACCCCTCGACAACATCGGAAATATCATCCACATTCATCGCGCCCTCATTCTGATAATTTGAGGGCTCCCCCTTTGGCATCTCTCAGGATAACAACAGCGAACCTTCGGCAAATCAACACACACGCCTTCAGACAGGGATAGCCTTCGACAAAAATACTGCCGCTCATTTCAAACCGGGATTTCACCTTTTCGACTCATCATTGGGGGAATTCGGTGCACTCTTTTTCCCTCATTGGAATGTTTTCCCACAGGGTTTTTCCCAATGAGGTTTTTAACGAGGCATCCCCCCAAAATGAAGCGAAAAGCGTCACCCCTCAGCTTCATATTGCAAGCAGGCACTACTCTACTCCTTTTCACCACTTTGCAAGTGCCTCAAGGAGTGAGGGACTGGAGAACCCCTCCAGGAAAAATCTCAAAAAACAAAAAATGTCAAAAACTCCCCAAAACAGCAACGTGGTCCCTCAAGTCTCGACATGTGGGTAACTGAGGGACTGCCTTCGGCAAATCATGCAAACGACAAACTCCTTACCAACTTTACAAACTACAACAGAACAACACCAAAGGACAAACACAAATTACTCGTTTTCCTTCAAGTACCTTTCGGCAAAAGGAGTGAGGGACTCCTCATGGAGTATATGGCCCAGGAACCCCCGACCCATAGACTCCTACTATTCTAATGGAGGCCCAATAGGCCCAGGAAGCACAGCATGCCCAAAACACAGCGCCCCAAATACTGAGCAACCCACGTAGCACACTGGGAGTGCCTTCGCCCCCTGGCCGAAGGCTCCAAATTCTCACAAGATGGCCAACTCAAACAAACAAAGTTACTGGGGAAAACGGTGAAAATCAGTAGCCCTCGGCACCTAGAGCCCTCGGCACTAAGAAGGTCCCCGGTGCTTAGATCCCTCGGCCAATCATCTGCAGCCGAGGGCACCTTTCTCGATAGAATATCCTCCCCACAAGCGCCTGAATCACCGTACTAAGTACGACGTCACATCCAACAGCCGCATTTAATGCGGCCACATGCGACTGCCAGTGACAACCAGTTGATGTGACCCCTCGGCCATTGGGTGCTTGACACGTGTCCCTATCTTTTATTTATTACTACTATAAATAGCGCCCATTTTCCCCATTTGTAATCCAAGCTAAATTCGTCCACTACATTCTCGGCAATACATTCTCTCTCTTACTTTTGCTTTGACTTCTCTCTAGTTACTTCCCGCAGTAACCTTTCAGATACATACCTCCGGGTAGGCTATCCATCAAAATCCATGAAATATTTGAAGACACCCTTATTTTCATGGATTCCACAGAAATTCAAATCGAGGACACCTAAACTCGGTTAAAATACTCCACAATCAGAATTGGGGGCACCCGGCAAGAAAAGATTTTAATTTAAAGTGAAGAGAAATATAATTTAAAGATGTAAATGAGTATCACTAATTATGACAATGCAATTCCAGAAGATATTCTACGTGAAACACATATGGAATCGTTCTCAATGGAAATGTGACACAAATATTTTTCTATGATTTGTAATTTGGATGTATTTTTAGCATTATCTTTATTGATATTACCAAAGATAATTTACGCGGGATGTTCAACGCACTTCCTTTCTCAAAACACTTGAGTACATATTGTTCAACGCACTTCCATGTCTCAAAACACAAAAATTGTAAAATGTGTAACAACTAGTACGGTAGAATTGTCAAAAGGGTAGATATAGAGTTTAAGTGTTCAAGTCCAGAAAAATTACAGATTCTACAATTTATCAACCAGCAGATGACAATTAAAGAGTAATTTAACCCCTAGCTAAATTCTCTATCCGTTTATAATTTAGTACCTTGTTTCGTTTTTTTTAATGTCGTCCCCCTATACTATATACAAATCCAGCGCCATTTCCATTGCACTTTTAGTTTAGCATTTGCGATCCAATAAAGATTTTAACATATTTCCCATATATGTAAACTTTAATTGGTAACATTAATAATTAATTTACAAGATTTAAGTTCCAATTTCGTTTTGCACGCATTTAACCTGTAATCCATGCGAGACTAAATCTTGCGGTCTTCTATACATTTCAAATAATATTGAAATTCTTTAGAAAGTTTTAGACGACTGTTTGGCAAATAATATTGGCTTAATCCGTTAAATCAAGTGAAATTGATGAAATTCTAATTGACTTTGGAAAATTTATATTTAAAATATATTTATTAATAAAATTAAGAAAAAATGCATGAAAAATAGCTTAAATGACTCTCTAGTCTCTACAATAACTTCAACTAATTCAACAAGAATAATAACTCGAACATTACTTATTTTGATTGCGCTGGAAATCAATAATTTAACTAATGAGGACCCCAAATCCAACTTGTCTAGTAAATGTTTTGTCTCTGTGTATTCTATAAATATGGAAATCTGATTTGGTCTGATCTGATTTGATATGATATGATCTGACTTGTTTAAGTGTGGTCTGATCTAGTCTGGACTTGTTTAGGGTTCTAGCTATTTGATGCGTTATGTGTAACTAAGTTATTGTTTGTTAGTGATATTATTTTAGAAAAACAAAGTTATCTTTAAAAATGTGGTTGCCCGCGGGGAAAATTGTTCCATGTTCCAACCAGGTACAGTTCGAGTAAAAAATTACGCAACGGGGAACGTGGCGGGTACGAGGATCATAAATCAAATAATGGGATGGATACATGTAATGGTATACCCGGCCCCGAAATTGCCCTGTTGCCATCTCTAGTTAGTTGGTATAATTTGACACAATTTTGGTACATGTTTGTTGGTATATACTCCGTATATATCATTATTGTTTTGTGCACTCGTGTTATTCAAATCAAAATAAAGAAATAATGACACACACATATATGATTATAATTAAGATAATGGGCAAAAATATGATTTATTACACACGATCATTATATTATTAACTTTTACTGACTATGGTTATGATTAATTTTACATCAAAGTGAGCATGAGTGATGAGCTTATGCATATAGTAACTTTAATTTCATTTTTGTATGTATCTACGGAGTAAATTTTATTTAAGTATATTCTTGGAGTTGGAAACACCTACAAAGTATTACATATACTTCTTACGCTCTAACAGCTTTTGTTAAATAACTAATTTTATGAATCAATCGATCAAAACAGCTAACACTACTCGCTACTATCAAACTTTTATCACCATCAGTTGGTAAACAAATTTTTATATTATGAACACAATTAAGATATTTTTACAAACCATTGATTATTCAACCATGTTTGATGTACACACCCTTGTACACACCTTATACATACCATGTTTGTGAAGCTTTTTTTTTGTCTGTGAATCCGGTTCACAGACAATATTTTGTTTGTGCAAAACATTGTCTATGAATCGATGTTCACAGACAAAGAAAAAAGCTTTCACAGACATAGGTGTGTACAAAAGTGTGTATAAGAGTGTGTACAAACATCATTTTTGTTGATTATTAGTCACAACTAAACTAAGGATATTTTTACTTGGATTGTAATTCGTCCCAGATCAGACCAGACCAGACTAGACCAGACTTGGATAGTTATAAAAATACAAAGAAACCAGACCAGATCAGACCAGACCAGATCAGACCAAACCAGATCAGACCAAACCAGACCAGACCAGCAAATTAAAGTCCAAGTAAAAACATCCTAACATTTAAAACTAAGATAAACAACTACACCAAGGGCGGGGTACTGTAATTCAATTTGTACACATCCAAATTCATACACGTGTACATGCCATTTTTGTCTATGAATAAACAATTTTTTTCATTTTTTGATTTTAATTGTTTGCACCGCAAACAATTAGGAGTATTTGTGTGGGAATATAGAAAATTTTTACTTGTGTAGGAAGCACCAGATTTCCAAATTACACCATAAACAGATTAGGAAACAATGGGCACCGAAGTTTTTTATTACCTTTATATATTAACCCTATTGGTTTTACTCGTAAAGAATTACCGCGAGTTTCTTTCTTCCTTGCATCAAAACTTGATTTACAGAGACTGAATCAATGGCGTCTTTTCCGATCGAGCTCGTTGACGGCCTGAACGTGCGACTGTTCACGTGGACAGAGAATATACTGTTAGACCGCTTTTCCAAATGCGGCCTTCTCCTCTTCCGAATGAAGCGGTCCGTCTCCCGAAGAACCTCTGCCGTTTTCGAGGAATCCGACGTCCAGCTCTTCGATCTGGTCTCCCACTCGCAGTACCTCCCGGAGATGATCAACGGCGCCGCAATCCTCACCGGATTCTTCCTGCCGCAAACCACTCCGTTCCTGGCGGCGGCCGTTTCGGATTGCTTGAGGGGCAAGTTCAATGTCTGCGAGGACACCCTGCTCTGTCTCGGGAAATCCCGGGTCGTCGTCGTCATTGACGTGGAGACGAAGAGGCTCGGGCAGGAAAAGGGGTATCGGATCTCGACCCGACACGCCCGTTTGTACGAGGAACTGTGTGAGTACGACGAGGAAGAGGAGGAAGAAGAAGACGGAGAAAGCAGGGGAGTGATGATCACTGTGAGAGAAATGGATTGTGACGAGGAGATGTCGGAATTGGATTCCGACGAGGACGAGAAGAGTTTCGTGTTGGAATTGGATTCCGACGAGGATGAAAAGAGTTTCGTGTCGGAATTGGATTCCGACGAGGATGAGAAGAGTTTCTTGTTGGACGTGTTTGGGGATCACTATGATGAAGATTACGAGAATATTATATGTTCGATCATGACTTCTTTGAGCAAGACGCCGGATTTTCTCCGGCAAGGCGGCGGCCTTATCTGCGATGAGTTTCAAGAATTCAAGGAAGTGGTTGGTGGACTGAAGTTATATGATTAGAGCTGCTGAATGCTTATCGGTCGTGTAATTGTATTATTCTTTCATTCAATTGCCGGCAGTTCTTGCCGGCCGGGAACTATTGAGATTTGAACTTTCAAATTTGAGTATTGAATTTAGATATTTGGTTGTTTGTATGTGTATACTAAGATTCTTTGCAATTGGGGAGGTTAATACAATCTTGCTTTTGTCTCCTAAAACTTTTGACAAATTTGACGGCACCCATTAGTAAAGTTGAAATTGAGATCTTGATTATTGTTCAAAAAAGAAGAAGGAAGAATTAACTGAAATTACAAATTTTTTACTTAAAAGTGAAAGTAATTCAGGTTAGTGAAATAAAAAAAAATTGACAAAGTTTCGACGGAGAAGGGAGTATCTTTTTAATTTGTTTGATTTTCTGCTATGAAAATATATTAATTCATCGGATCTTTTGTTTCTTAATTTGTTCTTCAATTTTATATGGGTTTATTATGTCCTGGGATGAGGCTGGGTTTATGAATGGTTGGTTGATACTACGTACTTGATAGTGTAGTAGTCAAATTCAGTTTCTAAGAACTAACTTTTATCTGAACAAATTCAGGTTAGATTTGCTTGCCAATTTCTGATACAGCTTTTGACCGAAAAATTGAAATTTTAAATAATACGAGTATGGTCAAGTTTGGGTAGTTTTTTGTTTTATTAGATCTGCATGACCCGATGCAGGTAGGGGAGAGCAAACCCGACCCTACTCGATTGACCCGGTCGGATATATCCGATTTTTTTGTTGGAGTCGGGAAACTCGACCCGAAATATCCAAACCCGATTCGATTCTTGCAACAACCCAAGACTTAAGCGGGTAGCGGGTAGGGTTACCAATTATGCTACCCGACCTGCCCGAAAAAACCGAAGTAGCGTAGTATATATACTACTTTGAATTATTATTCATGTTCAAATATCTCAATTATTGTATGCCAATTACCATATTATGCATGTTCAAATATTTCAATTACCGTATTTGTACAACTATAACTTTGAATGTTGTATTGTTATGACTTTGAATTATATTTTGACCAATTATCATTTTATTTATCACAATATCAAATATGTCAATCACCATATATTATTATTTTACATACTCAAATATGTCGATTACCGTATTCATACAACTATTACTTTGAATGTTATACCGGTACAACGTAACTTTGAATGCTATTTTTACCAATTACCATTTTGCTTATCACAATTTCAACAATAATAAATTAAAATCCGAATGAACCCGAAAACCGAATCAACCCGACCGCAACCCGAATTTCTTCAACCCAAAAAACCCGATAAATTTTTTGATAGGGTAGGGTTTGAAATTATCAATCTGATACCCAAACGGGTTTACCATTTTTGAACCCGACCCGCCCAAACCCGACCCGTGCTCTGCCCTAGATGTAGGTTTGTAGTAACAATATGACATGAAGTACGTAGTAATAAAAAAAGATTTGAATTTGTTGAAAGAAAAATCTAATATCTATGGATAAAACGATGCCGGATTAAGTTACCAAACAGGATCTTTTGGCTTGAATTTTTGACTCTTTGAAAATACTTTTTTTAAAGTTTATAGTTACACATTTAAAAATATTTTTTATGATTTATTTTGTTAATAAATATAATAATCTAATGAAATATAATATGGATATACTACATCCATTCTTTTTTAATTGCAACATTGGACTTTTTGCACTATTCACATATTCTACTTTGACTATATTTTATTAATTAATGAATTATAAATTAATTTTTTAAAAATATTGTTAAATTCTTCTCATTCTAAAATTTCAAAATACGATTTTTTTAAATTTTTTACTAATAAGGAATGAAAGACTTTAATTGTCAAACTTGTGCGTTGTCAAACATGAAATGATGACTGTTGCAATTAAATGGATATATAGGCAGTATACAGAAGTGTAAATTGCAACATGTAGTAATTAATAAAGGATGAATGTAGTAAAGAGTTTGAGTTGAGAAAATCTCAAATGAGATATGGTTAGAAAAGTCTATTGTTGGTTGAGTAACCTCAAAAGTCTTACACATTGAACTAAACCTAAGGGGAGATCATTATATTGTTGTTTTATCCTACCTAGCATGAAGGTGTTTATTTAAAGATAGTTTGGTAATACTGGAATTGACTGAATGAATTGAACTGTTAAAATTGATGAAATTCTTGCTAAAACGTCCTGATTAGCTGAATCTGCTAAACTATGGGTGGGGGAATATAAAATTTAGCGGCAAAATAAATCGTGAGACGGCCTTGTGATTAAGGAGGTCTTTAATTGATTTAGACCGAGACATATTAAAAGGTTTGGTTAAGAGACCGGTTAACTTAGAGCAGAACAACGATCTACTTTTCATCACCAAATATGAAGAATCAAAGGCATAGAATTAGCTCATTCAAGTTGAAAGAATTGCCTAAGCCAAGACTAAGAATGCCTTGTTCACACCCTCACAGGTAGCTCAACCGGTAAGGCGGTGGGAAAATTGGACAAATGGACAATGATCAAGGATCAAAACCCGTGTACTGAACTGAGCCTCAGATGCATAGGAGTGTAGTCTACTATCGTTAGAATTGGTTGAGTCACCGTGATTTACATCCTCCCAAATCCTCTGTCTGGTCGGGGCGTGGAAGGCTTTTGGATTGGGGATTCAACCTTTTGGACAAAGAATGCTGTCATCAAGGAAACAGGAAACACCTTACCAAACAATCCATAAAGAAGAGAAAATAGATGTTTAGGGTGGGAATATTTGATTGCCTGCCTGCAGTGTTCTTAGAGTTGAGTTGGTTCCTGACCTTAGATTTTGTGGTGGTTACCCTCATTGGTGGATGATGAAATTCAGACTTCATCAATAATAACTTGTTCTTGTGGTCAAGAAAAGAATGCTTTTAATTTGCAGGAACATCAACAACTTGTCCAAAGATTTATTTATTATTATTAATGTCACAATGCAGGGATGCTGTTTTTGTAAGGCTACTTAACCCAAAACACAAATATGATTCCTTATTTGACCCAAAGGAGTTCCCTTTTATTATCCATTGGAATATATCTTGAAGTCATATATATACTCATTATCAAGTTTCAAGTTTCAACTACACCAAAATTTACCAACAAAAAAAAAACTAATTAAGCTAGCTTTTGGATAATTGCAAAATTAAAGGAATCAAATCAATCGTAAACCTGGGTACCTCTCATTCCTCCAAAGTAATGCCCAGCCAGCAGGTGATAAAAATAAGTAGTATGTACGTAGTATAATAAAACAAAAATTTGTGAATCCACAGATTTATGTCTTTTTTTTTATTGTAAAAAACTCGCCTAATTACCTGTAGGTGTTAGTGTTTTTTACAACATTGATAAAAATGATAATCAAGTTTGATGGTGTGTTTCTTTTGCGGACTGCTTTTAACAGATGTGCTGCATGGCTATGCGGATAAATCTGGACTGCCCGGCTTGTTGCAAGAAAATGGAAAGAGTCCTCCTCAAAATCAAAGGTAAGGAGTACTCTTTTCGTACACAAGAACTTGTGTCGGTCTCGGGCGATTAAGCGGCGCGAGTCAATAATTATTCGAAATGTTCGAGTTTGAGTTTATTTTCGTACCAACAACCCAACTTAACGAGCTTCGAACTAGAAAACATACAAGCCGGGTTTGAAATTCGAATATTATTCGAGTTGAGCTCGAGCTGTTCGCTTGTGTAGTTTGAACTCACCTATTGAATATACTATGGGGATACCGTACAAATTAAAATTTAGGCATACATTTATTTCTTACATTTTCGAGGTATGTGTCATTCACTTATTACATGTTGGAAAAATAAATACTTTTTCATCATTAATAAGTGAATGTCACATATAAATGTAGTTATAAAATGTAGGGAAAATGTTTCTCTCACATATACTCCACGATTTTAAAGGTCTTCAACACAGTTTCCTAATTTAGATTTGATTTGGTGACATTAGAACTTTATTTAACATTTAGATACATTTCTTTTATTAAAAGCTCAATAGTTTTTACAATCATGTCACAATTAAAGTTGCATGAATCTCGAACTAATTAATAGTATGGTGACAACTCCGATACACATTTAAAAAATGAGGTACTGTACCTACCAATCACTTGATTGGTTCAAATTATTACATCATTTTTAATTTAGATTTAAATAATTCAACTGCGTCATTCTTAGTGATCCATCTGGACAAAGGTATAGTACATTGAGGGTAACATAGAATCTACCTACTGGTATTCACTTTTTACAACTGAAACTGTTTTCATTTTCTTGGCTTTCCGTGAGAAGAAATTGAGAAACGGAAGATAGAGGGGAGGAAAAACAGAGTCCTCGTTTGTGGAAGATTTGATTATGCTCAAGTAGCCATAAAGATCAGGAAGAAAATGAACCGCCGGGTTGAGATTTTGGATGTTCAGATATTCGACAACCACGGCGGCCAACCCGAATAAATGCCCATACCCGCCCGCAATCAGTATATTTGTTATTAATATAAGATGATCCTCTATGTTTTTAGGTGTATATATCTATGTGTACAAGTTAAGACAATACTGATAGTCTAATTCTTGTGTATGTGTATCTTTCTCTTCATACACCTAATATGCAATGAAAATATGTCGTCATTGGTAACACAGAAATTGAATGAATCGACTGAATTTGTTGAAGTTGATGAAATTGTTACTGAAATCGCTGAAGTGTTTGACGGAGCTAAGTTACCCAAAAATTATATTAAAAAAATAGTTTAGTAATAAAATTAAGGAAAGATTGGATAAAAATGGTTAAAATGATTTTCTACGATAACTAAAGTCAACGTACTCGGCCGAAAAAGTAACTTCAATCTTGCTTATTTTGATTATTATATAACTCAGTGCGCAAAATTAAAAATCACGAAATTAATATAAAATTTGACTGATAAGACTGAGGAATTGAAAATAGGGGTTACCAAACGGTTTATAATATCCACTTAATATGGGAAGATTGGGAACTTAGCTCTTTCTTTCATATTCTTATTGCGGAGATTTTTTTGGATGGTCTAAACTCATCCTAGCCGGTGAGCTTTCTAAAACTCATGTCTCTTACATGCATACAACAACAACATTCAAGCCTTAATCCCAAAAGAA